GCTCATTTTCTGGAGGCTGAATTATCAGTAGAAAATCTTCATTCCCTGAAATACCTAGTTCGCTGGAGCCATGTGGAACCTTCTTCTGAAGGCCTAGCCTTTTCTGCCGCTAGCTCGTTTGCTGGAGGCTGAATTATCAGTAGAAAATCATTCCCTGAAATAACTCAATATACTATAAATATTTACATCAATATTCACAAGTGCATCCATGGTGTGGGCTTCAAGAAATATGCCCTTCAAGCACTCAAAGAAATCCAGAGATTTTCAATGAAGATGGAGACTCCAGATGTACACATCGATACCAGGCTCAACAAAGCTGTCTGGTCCAAAGGAATGAGAAACGTCCTATACCATATCTGTGTGTGGTTGTCCAGAAAACGTAATGAAAATGAAGATTTACCCAACAAGTTCTACACTCTGGTCACCTATGTACCTGTTACCATTTTCAAAAATCTATCTATAATCAACATGGTAGAGAACTAACTGTTTATTTTCAAATACAGTTATAAAACCTAAAAAAAAATTAAATGTTCCTCTTTTCTAGCTTGACTATCTTTTATAAAGAACAAAGGGAGGGAGGCCACCAGGTGGCGTAGTGGTTAAGGCACTGGACTCACACATGGGCAACTGTGGTTCGAGTCCCAGATCTGGAAGATTGAAACTCACACTGGGGGCACATGTGCGCATGTCCAAAATCCCAAGGAGAATGTAGAAAGGATTGTGGTGTGGTCATTCCCCCGAGACATGATTTCTCATTTTTTCTCTCTCCATCTTTCTCTGTCTTTGGCGAGTCCATGTGCCCTATAGCAAAAATCTCTTCAAAAAATAATTTTAAAATGTTCAAAGGGAGACCAACAGATGGCCTAATGGTTACATTGCTGGACTCCCACATGGTCGACCATGGTTCAAGTCCCAGAACTGGGTGCTTGAAACATATGCCAGGAGCATGTGTGTGCATGCCCAAAATTTCAAAAGGAGAATGGAAGAGAAGGGACTGTGATGTGGCCATGCCTCCTGGGGGGAGCAATTTCTCACTTTCTGTCTCTCTCTCTGTTTCCCTGGCAAGCGCACACACCCTATAGCAAAAATGTCTCTCTCAAAAAAATAAATAAATAAAATAAAAAAGAAGTACAAAGGGGGCCAGCTGGTGGCATGGTAGTTAAGGTGGCTGGATCCCACATAGCCAACTGTGTGGTTCAAGTCCTAGACACAGCAGCTTGGGAAACATGCTGGGCACATACACATGTGTGACCAAATTTCCAAAGGGAGGGAGGGCAAGATGGAGGAGAGAAGACTGTGGAGCTGTCATTCACCATGGGGAGTGCTTCTTCACTTTCCTTCTCTCTCTCTCTAGTAAGCACATGCACTCTGGCAAGTATGGAGGGAAAAAAAACTGCAGAGGAAGAGACAGGTAAAAGAATTTTGAATACTGGGCCAGCAGGTGGTGTGGTGGTTAAGGTGCAGGATCCCACATGGCTGATCACAGTTTGAGTCCCAGACCTACCAGCTTGAAAAATCACACCAGGTGCATTGTGTGTGCATACCCAAATCCCGAGAAGACAATGGAGGAGAAGGGATTGTAATGTGGCCATCCACCCAGGTGATTTCTCATGTTCCCTCTCTCTCCATCAAGCACATGTGCCCTATGGCAAAAATCTAAAAAAAATTTTTTTGAATATTTTCTTTTTCTTGAGGTATTATTTACATAAGTTGCAAAGATCTTAAATGTACAGGTTGGTGAAATTTTACATATGTAAATATCACTATAATATAAATATCACCATCCAGATTAAGATATAGAAATTTCCATAAAATCAGAAGTCTCCTTGAAGACCTCCTCAGAAGTCTCCTCTTGAGGGTAATGACTATCCTTCTATTATCACTGATAAGTTGTGCCTATTTTATACATCATAAAAATGCAATTGGGGACCAGCAGACAGTGTAGTAGTTACGTCGCCTGACTCCCCTGTGGCCGACCATGATTTGAGTCCCAGACCAGGCGGCTTAAAACTTCTGCCAGGCGTGTGTGTGCATGCCCAAAATCCCAAGAGGAGAATGGAGGAGAGGAGATTGCTGCATGGCCAACACCCTGGGGGATGATTTCTCATGTTCTGTCTCTGTCTTTAGAGCAAGCACACATGCCCTACAGCAAAAATCTCTCAAAAAAGAAAATGGAATTAGGCATTTGCTAATTAGTTTGGAATTATTGCCTTGTATTTGATTTATTGCACTGAACATTATACAATTCCTCCATGTAGTATCCATGTGTATTACTTCTGTGCAATATTCCATTGTGTGAACTGATTGACACTTGACTGTTTCCAATTTGGAACTATTGTGAATAAAACTGCTATGACCATGCTTTTTTTTTTTTTTTTGAACTTGCCATAAGAAAGTACTCCCAGGGGAGATGGTCACATTGCAATCTTCTCCTACATTCCCCTCTGAGGATTTTGGGCACACATGACTGGGATGTCTTTCAGCCATGTGGGACCCAGCCACCTTAACCACTTTGCACTGGCTGGCCTTGCTATGACCATTCTTGTACTTGCCTTTCTGTGCACACACTTGTTTCTATTGCGTTTATAACCCAGAAGTAGAATTGGATCATAGAGTATACATTTTGCTTTAGTAGGTACTGCCTCAAATTTTTCCACATTTATGTATGTAAATTATGTTTCCAAATTACATACCCAGTAGGAATATATGAGAGTTTTGTCTTTTTACCTCACTAGTATCTGGTTTTATCAGTTTTTAAAAATGTAATGTGAACTTTTAAACTTCCAAATGGCCTTTCATCCTATTTTATTTCCCCCAAAATAGTTCTGCTGTGAGGTGCATTGGAGATGTCAAAATAGAGTACTCCAATTTTGAGAATGAGCCTGTAGCAGTTCCCGGTGGTGCTCCTCTGGCAAGAACAGAGTAGGCTCCAAAGCTTAGTATGAGCCTAGAGATTCTCAAAGAATTCCAAACTCTTGCCCAATGGGTACAATCCTCCAGAGCATTGTGAGGCAAGAGAACTAGAACAGGCTCAAAAAGGGAAGCTGGCAAACTCTTGACCCACCCACTGTGTGCATGTCTCCAAAGGCACAGGCCTGACCAAGTAAGATGGGGCTGTCTTTCCCAAGATGGCATTCGAGGTTAGGGGCAGTGCCAACTTGGGATGGCGAAAGACCCAGTATCAACCTGGTCCTTGGTTCGGATCGGAAAACAAATTCAAATCTCCTTGTAGGCAGAACTTCAGATGGGCCAACAGAGCTCCCTGGAGGTATGAGACCTGAAGCCTGAAGGGACCTGCACCACAGCCAGTCAGCCCCTAGCAAGAGAATCCTGCTTCCTCCAAGGGTTTCTTTGCCTGAGGAAAGTGGAGGCTGGCACTCAGATTCCTTCAGGATCTTCTGAAAAATGGAGGCAAGGGTGATACAGAAGAAGTCCCCTTGTTTGGTGACCAATGCCAGCCCTAACTGGATTGTCAAGCCAAAAATGGCCATTTTCCTTCCTGTGGTTCAGAATTTCACCTAGCCTTCCTAAGAAAGACGCAACCTGGACTCTGCGAGAGGCAGGCAGTGACAGATAAATTACAGCGTGAGGCCCATTTCATAACGCACAAAAGGCAGTGTGGCTCCGGTGCCAGGTCATGGGTCTCCGAAGGGGGATGTGGGGGCGAGGTCCGTAGGGGTAGGGCGGCGGCAGAGAGGAGACCAGGGCAGAATGGAGACTAAGGGCTTCTCGGGGGAGAGGAAAGGACAGCTAGAGGCCCGCGGGGCTGCCTGCGCTGGTTGTGTCGGGCAGATTCTTTGCGGTGGGGAAGTCTGGCCAGGCTGCGGTGGCTTCCGAGCCGAACTCCAAGTTCAGAGGTGGGGTGGTTTTTTTCTTCCCGGCTGTGTCCAGCCCAGTAACGGGAGGTAACCCCGTCGCTGCTGCCGGGAAGGCGTGTGCTGGGTAGGAGCCCTTTCTCTGCCAGAGCAGGTCGTCCTCACTTCCGGGGGCCGGCGGATGGGCGGGCTGGGGTCCGAGGTCGGCGACCAGAAGCCGGAATCCCTCGATCCCAGCTAATCCACCCCTAGACGAAGTCAAACGACGGTTGGAAAGCAGCAGGCGGCGGCTGGGCAACCGTAGGGAATTCGCTCCTGAGCCCTAAGTCCCACCCCTCTGGTCGCGGTGCGGACGTGCCACGAACTGCGGCTGCGCAAGGGTGACGGCGCGCGGGCGAAGGGGGGGGGGGGTTTTGGTTCCAGCCGCTCCCCGGCCTTTCCCGACCGGCGGCGGACGTGCCACGAACTGCGGCTGCGCAAGGGTGACGGCGCGCGGGCGAAGGGGTGGGGGTGTTTTGGTTCCAGCCGCTCGCCGTCCTTTCCAGACTGTCGTCGGAAAGCTTCTCTTTTCTGCCTTCCCTTCCCTTTTTCATTCTCTTTCCTGGCCGGGGTTCTCCCTCCCTTCCTTCTGTCCGCTCCTCCCCTCCCCTTTTTGTCTATCCTGCCCTGGGTCTGGGCCGTTTTCCCGGCCGGGCGCACTAAGGTGCGCGGCCCTGGGGCCCAGTATATGACCCGGCGTCCTGCTGCCCCTCGCTTCCCCCGCCCCATGTGGCTGCGGGGCCGCGGCGGCTCTGCCCACTATGGCCCGGAAAGCAGTTAGCAGGAAGCGGAAAGCGCCGGCCTCGCCGGGAGCTGGGAGCGACGCTCAGGGCCCGCAGGTGAGGGGCAAGGGCTGAGGGCCTGGGACCTGGTGATGAGGCCGAAACACCGGAAGGGTAACTTAAAATCCGCAAATCCGGATTCAGGAATTGGGGTCCAAGGTCAGTAATCAGAGATGGTAAAAGAACCGGACCCAAGCCTGAAGCGCGCTGGCTGGAATTAAGTGAGAGCAGATAGGCCGGAGGGGTGAGATGCCAAAGGGGACACTCCGAAATGGGGCATATTCCGCAGGAGGCCTTCAGCGAGGAATAAGGCATGAGAAACCAGAATCTTGACTTTGGAGGAAGGGGTAACCAAAATGGAGGGAAATCGGGAGCAAAACCAACCTCCCAGGAGATACTGGGAGGAAGAATAAAGTTCGCCTTCCAGGGATCCCGAAGAAGCGGGGACGGTTACGTCCTTCGTCCTTGATCAAGGAAAAAGAACTCTATAGATACCTAAGCCATGAGCTGTGTCTTTTGGCCCTTGGACATCTCGAAGAAACAGCAGTTCCCAGGTATCATCCCTATACCTCCCCTTTTAGAGGGGAGGACCTTCTTAGGCTTGGATACCGACTTCTTCCCGTGCCTCCCTCCCGTTAGTGTTTGATTTTTCGAATTCTGCAACTGCCTGGAGCGTGGGCCTGATGACAGAGGAGCAGCGATTAATAGTGGGACCCCGGACCCTTACCTAGTTCCGTGGGCTACACCCTCCATGCTCACTGGGAGTACAGAATGAGGGGGAGAAGGGGACTGGACAGAGATGCAGCCCAGGTTGGTTTGGGAATCAAATCATTCCTTTCCCTGTTTAGAGATCTGATTCCCTCACTGCTTAAAGGTCTAGTAAACCTTTTGTCGATTTATTTTCTGCTTTCATTCCCCTGTCTTTCTGTTTTGGGAATTCACTCAGGTAGGTTTGACTATGAGCGACATCTTTGAGATGTTGAAAGCGTTAAACTGGATTTCTGGGATTGAGATTCTTGTTTTGTTGTACTGTTGTGTTTTGTATTTTTGTTGTATGTAAATCCTGCAGGTTGAGTTCTGAGTGATTACTCCAGTATGGTAGAATCTCTTGTTCAAAAGAAGGGTCGCTAAGCCCCTAATTTCTAATGTTGCTTTCCACAGTTTGGCTGGGATCACTCGCTTCACAAAAGGAAAAGACTCCCCCCAGTGAAAAGATCCTTAGTGTACTACCTGAAGAATCGAGAAGTCAGGCTACAGAATGAAACCAACTACGCTCGAGTGTTGCATGGTTATGCAGCACAGCAACTTCCTAGTCTCCTGAAGGAGAAAGAATTTCACCTGGGGACCCTTAATAAAGTGTTTGCATCTCAGTGGTTGAATCATAGGCAAGTGGTGTGTGGCACAAAATGCAACACGGTAAGTGTCTGGGGAAAGCTTGAACTTTCCCCTGTGTCTTGTTTATATGACACCACATGTTCTAGAACTTCTCACTGGTCATTACCCCCCCTTAGTTTCTTTTGGGAGGGAATTGCTTATTCTCTTTTCGATTGCTTCATGTTCATGACCTCTTTCTTTTTTTGCTCCTTTTCTCATTTATATTTCTGTTTTGATAAATGTTAAGTGCAGTGCACTTTAGGATCTTTGCTCTTAGGATTTACTGCTTGTAAAGGATTTAGTTTTTTTGTTTTGTTTGCCCTTTTTTTTAATGTTGCTTGCTTTGTTTCTTTCTTTTTTTGGAGAGGATTTTTGCTATAGGGCGCGTGTGCTCACCAGAAAGACAGAGACAGAGAGACAGAAAACGAGAAATCACCCCCCAGGGGGGATGGCCATGCTGCAATCCCTTCTCCTCCATCCTCCTCTTGGGATCTTGGGCACGCATGCACATGTGCCCGGTGTGAGTTTAAGCTGCTGGGTCCGGGACTCGAACCATGGTCAACTACATGGGAGTCCTGCGACATAGCCATTACACCAACTGCTGTTCCCTCCTTTTTTTTTTTTTTTTTGTTTTGTTTGTTTGTTTTTTAATTTGCCAGAAGGCATGTGAACTTGCCAGAGAGAGAAGGAAAGGGAGAAAGCACTTTCCACTGGGGCATGGTCATACTATAGTCCTCCCTCCTCCACTTCTCCACCCTGCTGGGATCTTGGTCACTCATGCACCTGGCCTGCTTTTCAAAAGGTGGCCAGGGCTTGGGAACCAGCAGTTAGCGTAATGGCTATGTTGCTGGATTCCCACATAGTCGACCGCGATTCGCATCCCGGACCCGGTGGCTTAGAACTCACGCCGGGCATGTGTGCGTGCGTGCCCAAGATCCCAAGAGGAGGATGGAGGAGAAGGGATTGCAGCATGGCCATCCCCCCTGGGGGGTGATTTCTCGTTTTCTGTCTCTCTGTCTGTCTCTGTCTGTCTGGCGAGCGCACGCGCCCTATAGCAAAAACCTCAAAAAAAAAAAAAAAAAGTGGCCAGGGCTGGGATTCAAATCTTGCTGTTGGCCATATGGGATCTGGCTGCCTTAACCACCAAGCCACAGAGGCAGTCCTTTATGTTGCTTTTTAAGTCAGAGGTCTCAAAGAAAAGACTTGGGAAATAACGATACTTAGGCATCATTCAGGATAAGTGATAGTGAAAACCTAGGTGTTGTCTGCCAAGCTACGAACATATATAGAAGTATGTAAAGGTTGACTGAAGATAGAAATAAGGCAGACTTTTTAAGGAAATAGATTCAAAATATGTATATAAAAACAAATATGACAAAGACATGAATCATTTCCTGTAAGGAAGGCAGAGAATGTATGTCTGGTGTTATAAGTCAGGGTGTTAGTAAGTATTTGCTCTTTAGAAAAGAGCCTTCTAAAGAAAATTCAGAAGAAAATTAAGTATGACATGAGTAGGAGAGTATGTTTAAAGAGAATAACTTAACAGTTATAAATTAGCTACATAAGCTGTGTAACCAATACAATTATAAGAGAGAACAAAGAAGTCAAATAGTGGGTATGATTGTAACAGAAGGGTAGAAATAGCATGATGTCAGAGAAATGGCAAGTGAAGAGACGCAGAGCTGGAGGTAGAAAATGATTAGGCTCAGCCACTCCCTCTATTTTCATTTCATGTCATATGAGTAAACAAGAAATGTCATAATGGCTGAGTAAATTGACACTAGACAGAAACATCTTGAATCAGTTGCACATAGCCAGAGAGAAGATAGGTGGCCAGAAGGTAGCCCAGTGATAGAATACAATGCTCTGTGAGGTTGACACATGGAAATGTTACAGGTTTGCATACAGAGACCTCCCTGAGTGTGCCAGGCAGACATATGCCCATGATTTGGAGCTGGACAAGGCCAGGTGTGGATTGATATTGGGACCCTGTTGGGGATGCTTCCTCTCTATCTCTTTCTCATCCCTGGAATAAATAAACTTCAAAAAGAATAAAAGGAGAGAAGGTTGTTTTAGAGCAGGAAAACCTCAGTCCAGGATGTAGATGTAGAAGGAAAAGGATTGCAGCATGACCGTGCCCAATTTAGGGGTACTTTCTCTTTTTCTTCCCTCAACCCCTCCCCCATCTCTAGTGAGTACACGTGCTTTCTGACAGTTAAAAAAAGTCTTAAGTATAGGAGAAGTGTCTGTTTATAAAGGACATAGGCAAAAATTAAGCAATTTTAAGGAAGGAAATAATACCATGGTGGTTGGGGTGAAGCTTTCATTTCCTCTTCTGTGGAAGGTTGCTTATCTTATGCGGAAGCCTTTGAAAACTAAGCAGGGGTACCAAGCCTCCACAAAAGTTCATTTTTTTAGTCTTGGGTTGTCAAACTCAGTTTAAGAGAATTGTCATTGTCTCTTGGAGTAGAGAAAGAATTTCCTGTTTGGAAGAGTTCACTTCACTTCCCATCATAGTGTTTTTGACCAACAAATATTGCTAAATTATAAACTAAATAAATTGTAGTCTCCTGTCTCTTGAATTTGTTGATACTACTTTGAAAGTGATCATGTTAAGTAATATTTTAATTACTCTTAATACCTACCTCTTACATCCTATGACCTAAGGTGTTTGGGGTAGAGTTTGCAGACCACTTTTCTTCTTCTTCTTCTTCTTTTTTTTTTTTTGAATTATTTAATTTCACTTTATTTATTTATTTATTTAAATTTGACCAGAGAGGGACAGAGAGAGAGAGAGAACGTGTGCACGAGAGAGAGAGAGAGAGCTGCAGGTCCAGGACTTGAACCGCGGTCGACCTTGTGGGAGTCCAGCGCCTTCAACTACCATGCCACCTGTTGGCCCCACTTTTCTTCTTTTTATAGTTGCTGTTTGTTTCTCTTAGTTTCCAGAAGCAAAGCAAAGAACTAGCAGTAGTGCTCTCATCTGAACTTTGAGACATTTAGCAAATGATTTCTTTATTTGTGTCTTTGTTTTCACATCTATAAGATGGGAATAGTAATAGCCAGTACTGAGAAGGTGGCTATGTGCATCTGGAAATACTCCTAGATAGCAATATCTTACCTATTCAAAAGTACTAGGAGCAGTAAAAGTGAATCTAAAACCTTTTCCAGTGTTTTTGTTATTTCTTTCAGAGTGAGGGAAAGCTATTTAAATAATAGGAACAACTACCTTTGGGTGATATATGAAAATTTCAGGAGAGGGGAGTTCTTATTGTAGTCTCTCCCTCTTTCTCTCTCTCTCTCTTTTTTTTTTTTTTCCCCCTAAATTTGCTATAGGGCATGTTCACTGACTGGAGAGAGACAAAAGGGAAGTGAGAAAGCATCCCCCTGGGAAGGATAGCCATGCCGCAGTTATTACTCCTGTTGGGATTTTAGGTGCATATACACATGCGCCTGGCATGTTTTTCAAGCTGATGAGTCCAGGATTTGAACCAGGCAGTTAGCCATGTAGTATCCAGCTGCCTCAGCTACCACACCATTGGCTGCCCCATCATGTTGTATTCTTAATAGTAAATGAAGTTTTGATATATTGAAGGATAACCTTTAATGACGTTATTTAAGTATATTCAGTAGGAAAATACACCTACATTAATTTGTATCCTAAAATAATGTGTTGATATGTATTTATAGATTAGAAACTTTCTTTCTTGGGTAGCCATGGCCTTTACCATTTGACAGAGTTTATACAAATGCCAAAAAGGTGGATCGTTTCTACATTAACTGACTTGAAACCTCCTAATAGGGGACCAGCAGTTAGTGTAATGGCTATGTCGCTGGACTCCCATGTAGTCGACCGCAGTTCGAGTCTGGGACCTGGTGGCTTAAACTCATGCTGGGTGTGTGTGCGTGCGTGCCCAAGATCCTGAGAGGAGAATGGAGGAGAAGGGATTGCGGCATGGCCATCCCCCCTCAGGGTGATTTCTTGCTTTCTGTCTCTGGTTCTCTCTGTCTTTCTGGCAAGCGCACGTGCCCTATAGCAAAAACCTCTCCAAAAAAAAAAAAGAAACCTAATAGACAGTGAGTTGTCCTCTGAATGAAAGCAGTAAAGGTATTTTGAAAGATTTTTCTGTAGTTTGATTCAGAGGGTGAGAATTTCCCCGTGCTCTACACACTACGGATAGTTATTCAATCCTGAATTCATTGGGCCAATGAGCTAAGTGCAGTGATAATCATAAATGCAAGTATGGCCATCCTGTGTTCATATTAATAATAATACAGCCTTTTTAAAATTTGCTGCAGGGCACATGCACTACTGAGAGAGAGAGAGAGAGAGAGAGAGAGAGAGAGAGAGAGATGAAAAGCAAGCTTCTCCTAGGGATGGATAACCACTCCACAATCCCTTCTCTTCTATTTTCCTCTCAGGATTTTGGGCACATACCCATATGTGTTTGGTGTGTTTTCCAAGCTATGAGGTCTGAGACTAAATCATGCAGTCATTCATGTGGGATCCAGCTGCCTTAACCATGCCACTTGGCTGGCCTTACAGTCAAATTTTTACTAAACTAGTTAAAGAAGTAGAGGTAGTATAATCTTAATTAGAACGTGAATTTGTTGGCTAGAATAGGTCGGTATATTTTCCTAATAGGAATACAAACTCAAATTGCCTACAGTTAAACAGAAAAGCTAAGTTGGGGGGAGTTTGTCAGACACAAGACAGTAGTGGAGACTGCTTGACTTTCAGCCAATAGTTGCCATGTAGGAATTTGGGCCTACCGTTAACTGATTTTATTTCCTTTTTAAAAGAGAGCCAGTAGGATCAGCAGATTGCTAAATGGTTACATTGCTGAACTCCCATGTAGTCAACCATAGTTTGATTCCCGGACCTGGTGGCTTAAAACTCACACTGGGCATGTGTGCATGCATACTCAAAATACTGAGAGGGTAATGGAGAGAAGGGATTGCGGCATGGCCATCCACCCTGGGGAGTGATTTCTTGCTTTCTGTCTCTCTGGCGAGCGCACACACCCCTAGCAAAAATCTCT